GCCACATTTGCTTATACACCCATTTGTCTTCAGCAATCGTTTCATGGAGGTGAGCACACAATGATATGATTTTTTGTTCTTTGATGCTTGATAACTGATCCCTTTGGCACCTCGGGATGACACAGGCTGGTGTGCTTCTTCTATGTGGGCTTTCTTGCTTCTGAGCTAGATGGCCGCTTGTTTACTGTTGTGTAGCAGAGATGAATGGGTATGGCTATGTCCTGATAACACTTTACATAAGCCTGAGGCAGGGTGGAGTGGGGGTCGGGGCTGTGGTTGGCTGATGTCTGGCCTAGGTGACCTCTTGCTCCTACTTGTCAGGACCAATCCAGCCACAATTCTCTCTGCCCCTTCATTCCTTAACTTTCTTTTCTCAGTGCCTGAGCCTGACTGGGAACCCTGGTAGTGTAGTGGTTATGCATTGGGCTACACTCCACAGGGCCAGAAGTTCAAAACTACCAGCAGCTCCTCAAGAGAAAGACTGGGCTTTCTACACCCATGAACAGTTACAGTCTGGGGGGCTGCTGAGAGGGGGCCAGCTCCCTATGAGTCAGCAGTCACTTGAAGGCAGGGAGTTGAGTTTGGTGGGGCCTGATTTGCTGAAGGGGCTGGCGTAACATCCACATGAGAGCCTAAGCAAGCTAAGGGCTGGAGACACACTGGGTAAGCTGGTTTCTACTAGCCAGTGAAGTAGCAGGGTGCCAGCATGGGTCAGCACGGCAGGAAAAGGGATCACTGCTCCCAGGAGCATGGAGGGAGCCTTCCTTGAGCAAGACTAAGACCCCAGGTTATGACTCAGGTCAGGTTCTAGAAAGGAGGAAGCATGAGATCGGAGTCCAGTCAAAGAGGCTGGGTGAAGGGCACATCTCCAGTCCATCCAACTAAAACCAAACTCACTGCCATCGAGTCGATTCCAACCCATATGGCACTATGGCACAGGGTAGAACTTCCCCTGGGGATTTCCAAGACTGTGACTCTCTACGGGAGTAGAAAGTCTCAGCGTTCTCCCAATGAGAAGCCGGTGGTTTAGAACTACTGACCTTGCAGTTAGCAGTTAGCCAATGTATAACCAGGAGCGGGCTGATACAAAGCCCTCTCAAAGAACTGGACTAAAGAGAAGGGGTTGAAGGTGTGGGCCTGGGTACATTCCACACTTCACCTCTGGAGAACCAGGAGAAGGCTACCAAGGTCCTAGATGCCAGCAGGGTGGGGGTGCAGGCCTGAGCCAGGAGAGGGAAGCCAGCTAGACCCGCACAGCGAGGACTTCCTCCCCACTGGTTCCTGTGCCCCTTCCCCTTCCCCCACAGGAATTCTCACCAGGAACAGGGATGTCACAGCTCAGTTCCCGCTGAGCCCAGAAAGACCTGTTGCTTAATGGAATCCATTCCATTCCATAGCCACTAATTAGACAGTGTTCCCTGCCAAAGCCTGGGGAGGCAGAGACAACCCGTACTCCCAGAGCTGTCACAGTTTACCAGGGAGGAAACCAGAGCACAGCTCACCCCAGACCAGGTCCAGGGATGCACAGCCAATCCTCCTCTCCCAAGCAGGAGAGGCTGGCTGCTTTCAGAAGAGGGGGTCTTCCTATAAAACGTGAAGGGTTGAGAGTTTCTATCATAACACAGGGGCCCTCAGATGGAAGGCCCTGGAGAAGGGCACCATGAGGGGCAGTGACAACACGGAAGAC